AGGAGAGCTTAAAGAGTTTGACACTCACAGGACATATTGAAGATAAGAAAGATAGAGGAAAGCAGTGAGTAACCTACATAACAAGATTGTGTAAATGGATGGCAGAACAGGGAGGGAGGGTGAAATGACAAACCTTACTAAGTGCTACAAAGAACAGGAGTACCATGAGTGCTTGTAGTGAGTATGAAATAATAATAACTCCCTTCAGCCACTCCCTTCAAATTCGAATGAGCTGAGGAAAAAGATGGGAAGAAATTCACAAGCCTTTGTGAAGTTTTCCTTGGATCAATGAAAACCTTGGCTTTGCAAAGGTTGGGCAGCAAACTGAGAAAAAGACAGAAATAAATTAGCGAGCCTATGTGAAATTGCTTTTGGGCTGATGAAAACCTTGTCTTCACAGGTATTAGCCATTGAACCAAGTAAAAGAAAGAAAATAGCGAGTCTATGCAAAATTCTTTTTGACATAAAATGACAAAAAAAATGAAATTAACAAGAGAAGAGTGTCTGAAGTCATGTGAAAGGTTTTATTTCTGTTCACATGTTCAGCCTTCAAGTTCTTGCCAGTGTCAAATTACTTACCAATTATATTATTGGGCACATAGAACTTCAAAGAATTTTCCTTCAACAATCCAAGAAAGCTAAGTATTTCAAACTATCTCTCTTTGTCTACTTTTGAATGTATGTAATTGAATCTCATTATCTTCAGCTCATTATTTTTTTCATATATATCTGTGTTTAACACAAAATGTATAAAGCATAATTTTCTGTTTAAATACAGTCATCAACCTAATTGTGAAGTGTCCCTACAGAACATGACTCTCCACAACTTCCTGGCACTTGTAGTTCTAAGTAACATTTTACTCTTTATTATCCTAACTAGTTCTTACTCTGCTATCCATTCACACAAATTTGCAATATAGGTTTCCTTCTATCCCTCCTTCCTTGTTTGTATTGTTATAGACAAGCATATGGTTGCAAGAAAGAAATATGACAACAGTAGAAATAGATTTACGTGATTTATTTCAATAGGAACGTGTGGGTTTGGGACAGCTACATTGTGGTATAGTTCATAAGCCGACTTCCGATCTGGGTTGATCTCTCATAGTAGTTCTCACTGGTTGGCATGGCGCTCCTCCTGTTGACTGCTGCTGACTGACCATGACAGATCTCTTCCCTGGCCTCCTGTTGACTGCCAGTACTTAACCGTGTGATCCATTTTATGGCTTAACAGGCTCGAAAAACGATGCGAGTATAATTAGGAGGGAAGCATTTTTATTGGTCAAAAAATAGAAACACTTTAAAATATTATTTTATTTTTCGACCAAAACTCGTGTGTCGAGCCTATGTAAAAATGACAATAATGGTCATTTTGTGACTGGGCCTTGTCCCATTCACATCCGGCTCTCGCTCTTGAGTATGTTAGTTTATTTGCCTGCAAATCAGCCGAGATATGTCTTATTTTATTTTATAACATTATTAAGTTTTTTTAAACTGTCCTTCCTCTTAATGTCCTAGTAATTTAAACACTTTCTGATTTCAAATGAGTGTCTTTCAGGTGTCTTCCTATTTTCTTTAGAACTTGCTTGTTGCTCACATGATGTGTTTATTGTATTCTAGATGTTCGTCTGCAGAACTGCATCTCTGTTGATACAAGTCTGTTAATCTGTAAGAAAACTGTCCAGAATTTACTGTCACATCAGAGGATACATATAACTTAAGAGTACTATTTTTTTCATTTAAAACCTGATAAGATTTATAGACAATTAATGTTGGTTGATGTATGGTTCATTTGTATGTCACTCTAGCCATTTCATAGGTTATATAAATAAATTTTATTAGGTGCAATGAATTATAGATATTTTCTTTTTATTTGTCAGTTTTACTAGCTGAGATTAACTATCTCAAGCTTGGAATAAATTTTGCTCTTGTTGTTCCTCTGATATTAATTAAGTTTTAAAAAACTCTGCTTTGCATTATTAAATGTTTTAATCACATGCTCTCACCCTTGTATCAGAGAATTTTCTGTTGCTTTAGAGTTAATATTCATGATTGTTTTGAAAAGGGATTTTTATGGTACAAGATAATTTTCCAAACCTCATCAATGTAACATGGAGATTAAAGCACACGCTTTATTGTTTATTGTTTTAATCCCAGAGCTTTAGCAGTAAAACAAAATGTGATATAGATGGCAAATTGTAATGTGTTAAAGACTTAGGTTAACTCTTCAGATCTGACAAGTCCTAATGTCAAAAAGGGTAATAGTCATTACTCTTTGTAGACTATTCTGAGCAAATATGAAATAATTCAACATGAAAGAAGGTTTAGTTTATTATTATCAAAGCAATTGCTTTGAAAATTTATTAATTCGTACATGGTAATACTCTTTAGATACGGTCTATTAAACATTTGTCCTGTGACTCCGTTCACATACTGTTTATATTGCTTACAATCCACTTAATGTGTTTGCATAAGCAGCAGCAAATAAAGAGTGAAGTCACTCAGAATATAATGCAAACTACAGTGTATGAAAATGAAGCAGAAACTGTAATTTATAAAATAAAATCCACTTTTAATATCAAAGTAATTTTAAGAATGCAACTATTTAAAGAGAAAAAACAAATTTTTTTGCAACTAAGAAGCTTGGTTCATTGTGTCATGTGAGAGAATTTTTTTCTCCAGGATCTGTCTTACATATCTATACGTTTAACATTTGTCCATACTTAGAATATTGCTGCCACATATGGTCCAATGCTTCTGCTGTCACATATGGTCCAATGCTTCTGCTGTTTCTTCTTGATAAGATCCAAAGAAGAATCTGCAATATTATTGGTCTTGATCTGGTAGGTCAGATTCAGTCACTTTCCAACCACTGTAAGATTGCCTCTCTGTGCCTTTTCTATAAATAATTTCATGGTAATTGTTTGGGTGAGTGCTTCACTATGATTCCTACACTTTTTGAACTTGAATGCAATACTAGACTGGCATTGAGATCTCATCCATTTATAGTTGAGCTGGCTAGATATAGCCATATGTTCTATGCTAACAGTTTCTTTTCTTGCTCTCCTTACTTGTGGAACTTCCTTCCAGCACCATGCTTTTCAGCTAAATTTAATCTGCAAAAATTTAAATGTAATGTCAGTTGCTATCTACTGTCCTCCTGATTACTCATTATTGTGGTTTTTGTTGCTAATTCTTCCACACCCTGTAACCCCTTGCATTTTAGTGGCTTTACTGCTTTGCATGGGAGTAATACCGATTTACAAAAAAAAAGTTCTCTGTAATTTATCTCAGTATACAGAAACTCTTATGTTTATAAAGATTGGTCCCATATTTACAGTCAAAAGGAAAAAAAATATAAATAAGACTTGTGTTATTTAACTGCATTGATTTTAGTATAGATATTCTTGAGTTAAAAATTTTCTTTCCATAAAACTGGCTTGACAGCATGTGTTTTCTCTTATTTTAATAGTGCAATGATTTATGGTCATCTCAAAACTCACATCAGTAAATGTGTTTTCCTGTCTTGTTTGAACTTTGGAGACTTGGAAAGAATTAAAAAAAATTCAAAAGAAAAAAGCATCAATGAATATTGTAAAAGAACCAAGAAAGATATTTTATTCCTCAGAGTAATGGGACAAGTGAGAGCTGTGGGATTACAAATCAACACCCACCAAGAAACTATTTGATTCTTTCTTCACTGTTTGCTTGTTGATATTATATTTTTTTTATCCTGTAATGTAAACAAGGATTGCTAAGATAGCTCATGCATATTCAAATGATAAGAAATAAATTTATGGCGATAAAAATTGGACGGGGTTGGAAACAATTGAAAGGAAGCTTAAATTAGCATAAATATCTATCTTCAAAGAATTCATGGGCTTCATGGAAATGGTATAATGATATGTCAAATTTAAAACAAAAAAAAATTGTAAAAAAAAAAAAAAAAACATATATCAGATATTCAGTCAGTGACACAGCAGTTTTTCAATTTCAGACTAGCAAATTCTGGCAATCGATGGAAGGACTTCTTTATCAGTTTGTAAATTATAGTTCTTTCATAATGAAGTGATTTGCCTGATTCCACTAAGGAAGCAAGGCATTTGTTGCTGCTGCTGCTGTCAGGGATGGCAACTACTTACAATCAAATTCAATACTGCAAACAAGGTCAAGTGTTATGCCCCAAGATTCAACAGCCATCATTATGGTAATTGTTTGAGTTTGTGCTGTATCATTGTCAGAATCTACTAAATATACTAGAGATAGTCTAGATGATAATCATTGATATCAGTAATAGAAAAGGGAATGCTGAATCCCTCCCAAAATGTAATTTGTTGTCTGCAATCAGCCAACTTGGACAATGTCAGTAAAGTAGGTAAAGATATAAGTAAGAAGAGGAGTTGGAGAAAAAGGGGGAAAAAAAGATGTGTACTTAGAGAGTATATTTTCTCTACTTGACACGTTTGTCTTAATTTTTGCTCAAAGCATCTAATTTACTTTGTTTATTTTCTAATACTTAATTAGGTCAAATTTAATAGACAAGAAGAATTCAGAGGATAAAAAAATTGAGCTAAAACATATGTTCGTCTTAATTTAAGAAAATTACAGTCTTGAAGAAAATATTGTATATCCAATGATATGAGTTGGACTTCCATTCAGAATATCATTAGACATATACAACTGCTGTTCTTAAATATCACAACAAAGATATATTGACATCTTTCTATCTATTGGGTAGGTGAGAATGAGTCTTTATTTCTGGGAGCAAAATCCAGATAGATTTCTTTTCACCTAATGAATGATTTTATCATCCTGGGAAGAAATTTATTAGATATAAAATATTCATGGCATAATCACCATACTGTTAACCAATACACCTGATGATATCATCTAAATGTGTGCATGTATACTTCCTTTGTTACCTATTCATAGCATTATTTGTGATACAAGTAAAGTTGAGTTCATTGTACAACTGTCTTATTAAACCAACTATTTTTAGTCTTATGGCTATATCACATTGAAACACAAGTTCTTGTACGATCACCGGAGTTAAGCAATGTTGAGTCTGGCCAGTACCTAGATGGATAGCCACTTAGGAATACCAAGTGCTGTAAGCTTGGATGTGCAGTTAGTTTAATGGATAATGGCTTGGAATTGGAAATTGGGGAGCTGAATTTCAAGTAGGACTTTTATCAATAAATTATTATTATCGCCAGAAAATTCCTAAGGTCTAAAAATATTTTCTAGCTTTAAATAAATTGCAAAAAGGTTGATAAAATGTAAAAAATAAATAAATCAAACAAACTTACTACCTTTATTCATTTTAGTAACCAATTTCCAAGCCCATAGCATGTTTTTCTAAAGAAATTTAGAAATTTATAGTTTTTACAATGGTTTAAGTGTCATAGACGTAGTTTACTCTCTGAAAATATATTTTGAACCAAAATCTGAGACGATGCTGACAAGTTAAATTTTCAGCCTGTCCTACTTCACGAAATATTTTTCATTCTTTATATTTTTAGTACTCAAATTGTTATTTTTAGTGCATACCATATTTGAGTAGATGCTTGTGTGTTAGATACTTGTGTGTAGACCAGTAGATAAAATGCTGTTTAAAATAAAATGGGCCATATACTCAAATAATGGGTATCCACTAAATATAACATTTGAAGTTAAATATGTGTGTTTACCAAAACACACCCATATACGTGGCGTGTTTTGGTATTAAAGACAAGGTGATCCATTTGACAGTTGTTTATACCAAGTTCACGTGTTCATAATCATGTACAGTGTCTGCATCTTGCAGTGAGCTCTCATTTTTTTTTTTATTTCACCGACATCAGAATCTTGTTCAGGAAATTGTTCAAGGGGCATGACTCTTACTAATTTCTCCACATGCACTATACAGAGTAAGATAGCATTTATAGCAATAAAAACACACATACACACAATAAATGTTATATATATTTTTCTTATTATTCTAAATGCTTACAGCTACATCATGTTGAAGCACTGGTTCCTGTACAATCGCCAAAGTTAAGCAACATTGAGCGTGGTCAGTAGCTAGATGAGTGACTGCTTGGGAATACCAGGTGTTCTAAGATTGGATGTTGGAGGATGTGCAGGTGGTTTAATGGATAATGGCTTAATAATAGTTTCAATTCTAGTCATGTTCTTTTATGTTCAAATACTTTTGAGAAAGGTATTAATCCACTTTTTTTCCTCTCCCCAGCTATGTGTTAATTAATAAAATTTATATCACTAAAACAATTATTATCTAAAAATGCATACAAAATAATTAGATTTCAGCTTTAAATAACCCATAGTGGTGTTGATATGCTGCTAAACAAAAACAACAATCCAATTATTACTATAAATGTTATATGTGTGCTTGTTAGTAGGATGTAGAATTATGTTTGAACAAAAGTGGAGAAATGACAAAGTGTAAAAACATTTTAATTATGCGTGTGACCTTTGTGTATCGGCATTTCCAGGTCAGAATGAATGACAAAAGTATGTGCTTTTTTTTTGTATTAAAGCTAGGTTGGTGATTTTCAGTTGGAATGAAATAACAGGACTATATGCTTATTTTTCTTTTATTAAAGCCATTAATATCTGCTTGATTTGAAATTAGCACATTCTAACTGGATTTGTTATTCTCTCTATTAGCTTGTATATGACATTCTGCTGCTATTGTTTTCATGATGATTGGCAATATCATGTATGAGCCTTGTCTTAGGTTTAGTGTTGAGAATTCTGAGATCAGCACACTCTTAATGCATTTTCTTCTTTGTGAATCCTTTTATCTTTAGTACATTCATTCATTATACATAGAAATAAATGCAACCACAACTTTGATCTAAGAATGCCACAGTTATTAAAAGAGAAAGTAACTTACTTAGATAGAAAGTTCTTGAGTGTGCCACTATTGAATCTTATCAAAATATAATCTCCAATCCAGATATTTACAAATATCTCCATTCCTGAAAGAATTACTCCATTCCCACACAAACATACATAACTGTAAAAATGTTAAAAAATTAAAAGAAAATCGTTAAATTTATAACCTGTTATTTATAATATATAATACATAAATTTATCCAAAAGTAAAATAATTTAAATATTAATTGCATTAAAAAATTCAACAACAACATTTATTCACATTTGTTTATTAGACATTAAATTATGTCACTTAGCATCATCCATAATTTGCTCAGACTTATCAGCTAACTTGATGAATATTTATGTGCATCGCTTAAATTTAAAAATTTTGAAAAACAAAAAAAAAAATTACTTTTGTTTATAAATACTTGCTGTAAAATAAAATTTGGCCATTAGAGGATGAAATGCACCAACTAAAATAACTTACATTTTGTCCTTGTATATATGTATATATATATATATATATATATATATATATATATATAGTGTGAGTGTGTATATAATGTGTGTCTTTGCAAAATCTGTTTGGATGATCAAACCTTAGAATTTTATATCACCTTTTCATTTCTTTTTCAGAAATCAAGTGAATGCTTTTTAGTTATTTACCAATATAAACTTTGAAATATGGAACCTGAGACCAGAAAACAAAAAAGAAAATCTTAGTGAAATCTGTTTCAAATCTTTTATTAAATAAACCAAAACTTGAAGATCCATAAGCAAAATGGTGAGAAGGTTGAATTAAAAAAAAAAAAATGAGTATTTCAGATGAAATTTCTCCCAGCTTCAAAGTAATATCTTCAGTAAATAAAACAATACTTTTGGAAATTTCTCAAGCCATAGCAGCAGATTTTTATCAAGTTTATAAGTAATTTTTTAAAATATAGAGATTTGAGTTAAGTTCACCAAGTTTGTATCTTGTATTTTTTTTATATTTGAATGAATCATTATTGCAGCCCATAAGTCTATTTAAAAAAAAATACAAAACTAATTTTGTTGAAAAAAAATAAAATATTTAAATGAATCAAGTGAGAAAGATAAATTTTCTCTTTTTTCTTAAACTTTGAATTATCTTTCTCCTATGTGCTATGTCCCTTATGGACATGGGTAGTCATGGCTCTCCACAGTTTCCTGTCCTTTGTAATCCTTAGTAAAATTTCTCTTTTCATCTCTCCTAAACTTTGTTCTCTCCTCCATTTATGTAAACTTGTTAGGAAGGTTATGCACTATTTTCCTCTATCCTTTAATGTGAGTGTTAAATTTTCCAAGCCCTCTTACCTTATATGCTCTAGAAATTTCTACTTCTTGATGTTAAGAATGTGTCCTTTTTGACTCAATTTTCTCCATGGTATTTTCAGTATCCCTCTGTAGAAACACATTTCTCTTGCTTTAAGTCTCCTCTTCATCTGCGAAGAGATTGTTCATTTTTCACTTTCATGTAGGAGGACAGTTGTCTTTTCTTTGTTTTTAATGAAATTTTCCTACTTAATACTTTGCTTAACTTTTGGAAGGCATCTTTCACTATCTCAAAATGCCTTTTGATTTCACTGTTGCACTTTCTGTCCTCTGTTAAAACATTTCTTTTTTTAATCATTTAACCCCCAAGCAAGGTGGGAATCCCATTAGTACACAAGTATTTACTGTGAGTGAAAGTGAGAGAAAAGACTGAGTATAGGGAGGAATGAGGAAAAAACAAAAAATGAACAGAGTTCAAGAAGATAGAAGATGGTGATTTATGCTGCCTTTAAATTTTTGAAGATTGAGGTTATAAGGAAGTAAATGGAAGGGAGTTCTACAGGCGGGAAGTGTGATAAAAGAAACTGCTGGAATAGAAGTGGCTTGTTACATTTAACTATTTCAACAGTAAATGGATGGGACCTAAGTGGCAAGGAGTTTTGTTGGTCTCTCACTCAACTAATAATCAAGGGGGTTGCAAGTTTCTGGAGTTAGGTGGCCAGATGTAAGGGGTTATATGGTTGCTGAAATTGTCTGACAGCCATGACTGGGTTCTTCTGCTTGTGTGGCATGGTGCAGAGTCCTGTTGCCAGAGATAGGGTCTTTCATCAGCGACTCTCTTGATCCAGGGCAGTACTAACTCCTCAAGACACAGGATGTAGGCTTTGCGTTGAGGTTGAGGCCCACACCAACAAACTTGGAAGTTCTCATCAGAACAATCAGAAAGAGAAAGAGTGTACCTTAGTAATCACCATTAGACTCATCCAACTCTTTCTGAATCCTCTGCACACTAAAACACTTTGAATTGTTTGTATTTAAGCTTCCGGCATAAATGACAAGTGGTACAGTGGGCTGTTTCCAAATTTCTGATGGAGTGAATTGCTGGAGACAATTTACCCATCGCACTCTGTATTCTTCTTATGACTAAGAATTTTAAAAAGAGGATTCAAATTTACAAGCATAATGTCTTAATCATGAAGTATTTCTTTACATTTAAATTTAAATAATTTGTTTCTTTTTATTTTATTTGAAACTGGAGAATCAACTATGATTTATTTATTTAATAAGCATTTTCAGGATAAATTTATGTCTATAACTCTCAGTATATTTTATGTGTATACATTCAGTGTCATTTTACTTCGTACTTTAAAAAAGTGCAAAAATATTTGAAGGTGTAAAATTATTGGAAAATTGAGTAATGTCATTTTCACCTGAGGCCATCATGCTGCATAACAGTACCTGTAGATTTATTAGGTCTCATCATTTTTCCTCTATTAATTCATCCTGGGTATGACAATAAACTACATGCAGCAGCAAGGCCTTTGATAGGGAGATTGGTAGTTTTGAGGTGTGTGGAACCATCTCTTATTTGCTGTTGTTCCAATGTCCACCCTGACCCAAGGGTGGTAGCACCCATTATGGTCCCATCTACAAGCAAAGAGTGAACCCAAAACAAAAATCAACAATACATTTTTATAATAAAATGACCAATACATAATTATAGTATAATGGCAATCAGTGCAACACTAAAAAATATAAAAAAGAATATATTTTTATAGTAAAATTCCCAACAGTACATTTTATGATTTACAAACTATATATCTAAAAAATATACATTTACCCTGAGAGTATAGTATTATGTACAAAATATATGTAGTTGAATGCATAAAATTGTATATGAAATATTTAGATTTTGGCAATAAATAACCCATAGAGATTGA